GATCAATTAACGAATCTCTTCTGCAGGCACAAGCCGAGCTGAATGAAAGTCAAACGCGGGTGCAAACGCTCGAGGACGACGTCACTGCTTTGCGTGATGAGCTGGTGCGCAAGACACAAGCCAAGGCGCAGTTGTACGAAGAGAATACACATCTTCAACAAGTAAGGGCGTAATGCCGCCTCTAGCACCATCTCATCAATCCTTTGCTTAGATTGCGAGCCCAGCAGGTATTTTGAGTACAGACTGAACTGCACTCCTCACCCCCTCACCTTGGGCTGCGCCTGTGTACATTCCCTTGTGATAGGACTTGTCGGCCAAAGAGGAGGCCGAGTGGCAAGATGATCATGCGGTTACTCATTGTCCAGGCTGCCGGAACGAGTTTGGCTTTTTTCTTCGCAAGCACCACTGTCGAAATTGTGGCAAGGTGAGTTCTTATTAGCTTCCCGCCGTCACAGCGCCGTCTCTTGGTTCATCATGACATGGTCCATGATCGCATCCGCCCGTCCTAATCATTTTGGTGACTGGTGGCCATTTCGGCAGGTTGTTTGTGCCGATTGCTCGGCCCATACGATCAAAGTTGCGTCGTCAGCGCAGCCCGTGCGCGTGTGCGATCCGTGCTTTGCCAACCGGCACAAGTCATAGGTTCTTCTAAGAACTCTTAGAACAAGGTTCAGGGATGATACAAATTAAAGAAACCTCTGTTTATTGTCATTTCGATCCTGATGGAAAGTGAATCAGCATGGTCACAAAAACCGTTGTCAAATGATACGCACTCGACACAAAGAGTTAAAAGCCCACACTTTCTTCACTTTCTTTGCTGTTCCCTTCAAAAGCAGGCGAGCCAACGGACTGGAGAGAGATCCCGGCACTGAAGTCACTGACAGAGCGAGAGCGAGAGATCCAGACCTGACTCATCGAGCATCATGGGAGGTGGTAGCCGCCGTGTGTACGTGGGCAACTTGCCCCGGGATATCCGCGAGCGCGAGTTGGACGAACTGTTTTACAAATACGGCCGTATTTTGGACATCCACATCAAGGGCCCCTATGCCTTTGTCACGTTTGAGGATGAGCGCGATGCAGAGGATGCGGTGCATGGCCGCGATGGCATCAACTTTGCTGGTGGCCGCCTCCGGTAAGCCTGCGACATGGGGTCCATGTTTGTGACGATGTGTACTTTCCACACTAGCCCACCGTTTTATACTGTACTCTTGTCAAGAGTTGAGCGTTGGTTGCGTGCTGGGAGCTGGACTGGGTCACAAGAACGGCGAGGGCAGGCAGAATGCTCGTGCAAGTTTGTTCTCTAGGAATGAGACAAGTCAAGGTGGCGTGAGGGGAGGTGAAGATGAGACTTGTGTGTGCCTGTGTGCCTGTGTGCCTGTGTGCGCGTGAAAGAGAAAGAAGGGGTAGGGCATTGCTTCGGGTCCATCTCAACACCATTGTGTTGAATTTGCCAGTCTGGAGGACTCGCGTGGCTTGGCCTGAGGAGGCGCGCGGATCGATCCATGGACCCGGTGGCATAAACTCTGAGCGACTTTGGGAGCAGAAGATGGCGATTCAGGAATTCGTTGCTGCTGGGAGCGAAAAGCATGGGACGGAGACGACAGCGAATTCTGGAGCACGAGCGTCCATTGGGACCTTGGTGTTGGTTGCTTTGTTGTAGTCGTTGTGCAAAGCGGTTTTGCTTGATTTTCCGACGCGGTCTTGCCCGATGGCTCAAACTTTATTGTTTGGCGAGCGTCCGGCATGTTGTCTTGCGTTTTACGCTGGTGCCACTTGCATGATGCTAACTTCCCACGATCTTCTCGCTAATGGCTTAGGGTTGAGCTGTCTAATCCCGGTCGCCGCGGCGCGAACCCACGCGACAATTTCAGCGGCAAGCACTCTGAGTTCCGCGTCCTCATCAAGGGGCTTCCCCGTACTGCCAGCTGGCAAGATGTCAAGGACTTTTTCAAAGATGAGCGCCTGGATGTTGTTTTCACCGATGTGAACCGCGATGGCGTTGGCATGGCCGAGTTTGGTAACCAGGAGGACATGAACTTTGCTCTTGACAAAATGAATGGCCGCAAGCTCAACTCTCACCTGGTGCGTATCATGGCCTCCTGAAAGACCCCTGTGGTTGGGAGTTGCAACGGATGACCCTTATCAATTACCCCTGCTTTTCACTGACAGGGCGACTCTGAGTTTGTGGATGTGGTGCCAATGAATGGTGGAGATGACCGTCGCGATGACCGTCGCGATGACCGTCGTGATGACCGTCGTGACGATCGTCGTGATGACCGTCGTGATGACCGTCGTGACGATCGTGATGATGACCGTCGCGATGACCGTCACGATGATGACCGTGGCCGCGATGCGGACCGCCGCGATGATCATGAAGACGATCGTCGTCGTGATGAGCGCGAGGACGAGCGCCCCGTAAGTGATTGGCGTGCAACACTCGGACAAACAAATTGGGGTATTCACTCGTGTAAATTTCTTATTCTCATATTCTTATGACCATTCCTCCTTGGCTGCGCAGCAGGTTGATGAGGATGATCGCCAGTAAATGCATGCAACCACGTTGGGGCCCGAGGCCCCAGGCTTTATGTCCATTCAGAATCAAGCGGTGCCATCGTACGACTTGTAGACTGGTAGCTCGACGTGCATGATCAAGCGCACTTTGCCATCCGTCGAGCTTTGCTGCCCCATGCATTCTTGGTTTGTTCTGTGTCCGGCTGGTTCAGGAGGCTGGCTGCCAAAGATGACTGCCACTCTACGCGGTTAGCCGCGAGTAGAGCTCCACCAGCACCTTTGCAATGGCAGGGCCAACCCGAGCTGGCTTGCCACTGTTGGTCGAGGCGTTTAGGTTGGATATCATTTGACAAGCAACTGTCTTGCCTGTCAAACCATGCCAAATTGAGCGCCTGCGCTTTGGAAAATAAAATGTGTTGCTTTTCGCGACATGCATTGACTCGCGTGGCACAAGCTCTTGATGCAGTGCCGGGTCTAGGCAAACAAAGGCCCGCATGCCGTGGGATGTACGAGATGCATACCTTTTTGAGTGATGAGGCGTGTGAAATTGGCTGGCGTTTCGAATTCTTCCACCACCGCTGTGGCCTTGTGGACCGTAACTCCACGCAGGCACATCAGATGCTGCAGAAACAAGTCCCGAACACTCAAATCCTGAAAGGGAGACACCGAACAGTCCACGGGTGCAGTGTCAGAATGAAGCGGCAACATTGTACGCAACCCCTCATTCAAAATAAGAAAAGAGCAAAGACCCCCCACCAAAAAAAAAAAAAAAAAAAAAAAAAAAAAAAAAAAAAAAAAAAAAAACCCCAACAGGGAAGAAAAAGGCAAGGTCGACCTTGTTCTTTGCGCTGTTTTCGCAAAATTCTTCATAGGTCTGCAGCTCAACTGCATGATTGCTTTGCTCGCCTGTGTTGATAGCGCGGCAGAGTGAATTCAAGCAGACAACGAGGCACGTGCAGCAGTCAGGTGCAAACTCACCAGTGCTCCCATTTGCAAAAGTGGTATCCCGGTAGGCTTGTTGGAGATAGCGCGTCATCAAAGCAAGGTAGGTCAGCGTTTGGGTCAGGTTCGAAGTCGTCTTGACAAAGAATCCTTCGTGAATCTGTTCAAAGCAAGAAGGTCAGCGACGAATTCATTCGGCTCAAGCCTTCGTGCGAATACCACTGCTTCCGTCGCGACCATCCGGACAAGACAGACCTGACTGTTCACAAGTGCTTGCTTCAGGGCAGAGCCAGCCATGGTTTGCCGCTCGATCAGATCTGGAAAAGTTGACAGGGGCCCGTTCGAAAGAGTGTTGGTTGAACATTTCACTAGTAAAAGTCGGTTTGCAAGGGTAACAAGGGCGCGCGGACCAACCGGCATTCTCCACCAGGTAGATGGGTCGATTGATTCCAGAGCGCGCAAATCGAAATTTCTGTTCGCGGTAGCGGCCATCACGGATCGAGGCCACTAAATCGTCGATTCGTTTCCGCTCCACCACGTAGTCCAACACCAGTTCTCGGCTAAGCCAAAACGCATGACGAGCCAGCACCAAGGAATGAGGTCGTGGTGAAGCTCAGTACAAGTCGGCATTTTGACGTACGGAATTGGTGCACGTAAACGTCCTGGTACTGGAGTTATACGTTCTTGCACTATCCAAAGAAAGTCACCGAGGGGAAGACGCTTGGCCACGCTGCGCACGCCCATGGCGTCCAGCCGCTCCTTGAAGATGCCGGGCGTAACAAGCAACAACATGTTGAAATTGTTTTGAGATTTTGTATTCCCCGGCCTTGCCTCTTGCAGGGTAAATGAAAATCGATAAGATGGATGAGCCCATGCGGGTGAGGAGAGACAAACCTTCATAAGACCACGATCAAAAGCAAGGCCGTTGTCCTCGCGAGAGTCAATCACAAGCACAATGTCATATTCTCGAGGCGCTAGCTGCCACGATGCTGCACGCAAGCGCTGAAAAGTTGCAAAGGGCGTGGCGCGCTGTCTGTTGGGAGTGGGCGCATCCCGCAATTGGTCAAAGCTGGAATCAAAGGTCGTGCTTGACATCGGGCCGGGGGAGACTGTTCGGGCAGTTGGGGACACTATAAAGGTCAAACAAACCAAGTTCAGTACCACATGCAACCCCTGCCAGAATATCAATCCTTGATGCAGGCATTGTTTTCTGCCTGTCATACAAGCAGCGTACTTGGAATAGAGAGTGGCTGGCGCTGATGGGTTTGCTTGATCTCTGCACGGTGTGCAAAAAGATCACATTCCCGGCAAAGCGACCACGTGCATTCAAGGCACTACCATGCAGCAGCGTATTCGAGCCAGGCCAGGAGGGGCGCGTGAGATTATGGTCAACTGCAAGCTGAGTCAAGGTGGGAGGTCACCCTCTTCGGTCACCCTCTTCGGGCAACAACAGCAACACAAATCTGGACAAGCTGTGGGTCTGGCGGGTCAGCATGTAGGCGTACCGATATACTTGCGGGCGCGGTCTCACAGATGTGGCATGGGGGCACAGCCTGAGCGGATTCTGCCGATTGGGGCGCAGCATTCGCGGCGGGCTCCTTGGGCGCTGGATGGTTGTCTGGGCGTGTGGGTGCGTGCTCGGCTGGTCGTGGCGGTGGGTGCCTCTGGCTGCGAGCGTCGTGGGGGGCGGATCTATTGCTCATGCCCGCAAAGGTCACGAGAGGCGATGCCACATCTACTGTCCGTGCAGCACTCTTTGGAAAACAAAGTCAAGAGTCGATGCTCAGTGAGGTTGGGTCTTGGTAGCAGCCATGACCGGCATCAACACATTACCAAACTCCTTGCCGTACCCTAGCTTGGTACAGACGCTGACCCAGCTCCAGGCCTTCTGGGGTAAGCTTAAATCTGATTGATCAAGCGACCACAAGCAGGGTGAGAATCTTGATCTTGCTTCTCTGTTCTTGAGACACCAAGAAGGGGGAAGAGCAAAATCACGCACTTGGCTGGGTTGGAATACTTGAGGAACAATCCCTTCTCAAGCAGCACAGCCATTGAGCTCCATGCCGTGTAGTGGGACACTACAAGAACATACAACATGTATCAGGGCAGGGCGGGAGCAAGCAAGAGGAGGACGTCATGGTGCTGATAGGCAGCCCCCCCGCCCCCCACCGCAAGCGGGCATGGGCGTGGCGCAGGCGAGTCAAGCGATGGGAATAAACGCACTTTTGTCAGAGGAGGTAAAAGATGATTCCGAATAAGGCTGGGCAACAGCAATCAGATCCCGTTTGCTCAGATACTCGAGCTCCCCGCCACTCTGGGAACATTGGGTGCACATTGTAAGCGAGGTTCAGCAGGCAGGTGGGAGAGAAACATCTGCTAGGGGCCGGGCTTGCTGCTGCCAGGCGCGCACCTGTGTCAAAGCTCCAAAGTACCCAATGAGCAAGGCTGCAGCACCCGATCCTCGGCGTGGCACATATGCGCGAGTAGCTCGCTTGCGCCGTGGACCACCGTCCGCACCGCTGGCAGCATCAGTGGAGGCGGCTGTGCCTTGAGTGTCGGTCGAGGTTGAGCCTGGCCGGGATGTACTATCAATATCAGCCGCAATTGGCCCGTCCAATGCCAGGTTTGAGTCGGTGAACGGGCAAGGGGTACATGAACAACGGAAGGGAAGTGCAATCCGCTGGCGATATAAAGCGACGGGGTGTGCGACGGGGCTGGTGCAATACCTGCTTCGGCTCGCGACGGGGAGGGGCCACCCTCGTTTGGTGCACAGACTGGCCTTTTTCTCGTCCAGTAAGCGCGCAATGCCAGCCCCAACGCCCTGTCACAGTCAGGAACAGCTGAGTGGCAAAGAAAACAGAGGGGTGGGGGGTGGGCGAGCGGCGTGCCTGCAACGCGTCGCAGGACTGTCAGGTGGCACGCATACCTTGAGTTGCATGGCATCCTTGCCGTTTTGAAGAGTCCCTGGGTGGGCTTGCATGGACTTGAGGGCTTTGCTGTACACCCGCTGAAAGGTGCTGTTTCTGGTTGATGCGGCGGATCGCAACTCCTCGAGCCACTCGATAAAGTATGGCTTCCAGTCTGAGGGTGCCGACGCGCCCGCAGCCTCACTGTCTTGATCCTGGCTTGCCATACGTCCGGTTTTAGGCAGCACCCATGCCCAGGCTCCTCGACATGCCTTGGCCTAACACGTAGCCTCAAGCACGACCAAGGACCAGGTCTGCGCTCCCCGTAGCTCGCAGACACACCAGCTCGAGGTACCCGTCCGTCACACATAAGAATTTAAAAAAAAAAAACCAAAAAAACCCCAAAAAACCAAAAAACAAACCTCTTGTAACTGTTGCTCAAGCATACGCGAAAGAAGGAGAAAGAGAAAGAGAGAGGGAAAGGCATAAACAACAAAAGGCACAGAGAAACAGCAAAACTACCACAAGAAAGAGGGAGAATAGTCTGCCAATTTCGTCTGACATCAAGCTTGAAAATGGCAGTGAATGGTGCTGATGGTGCTGATGCTGATGGTGATGCTCATGGTGGCGGGGTGGAGGGGGTAGAGTATGAGCGAGGTGTGAGTGCGGGGCTGGCCAAGGGGCTGGGGGTTGGGCGGGATTTGAAAGCGCAGGCGCTGGCTGCGCGATGTGTGCAGCTCGGAGGAGATGGCTTCGGGCTGGCGCGGCTCCTGACCGCGTCAGAACCGGTGGGCGACCCTCTCTACACACGGCATCGCCTTCGTAGCTATACGCTCGCCGAGCGCCTCAATCATGCTGTCATCATTGCACAAACCCTGGTATGCTCGAGTTGGCGTGGGGTGCCCTGCTGGGCTGTGTTTTTGGCATTTGTCAGTCATGCCCTGCGCTTCGGCCGCTTTCGCATTCTGCTTGATTAGGCACAGCTGCATGAAGAGGGCATCGTGCACTGCCTGGCACATTTCAAGGATGCACGCTTTGGCGCCGGCGAGGGCGCTGTCCTGCTAATGCTTGCAAAAGCCATGCCTACATCTACCCCGGACTCGCCTGTGGCCGCTATCTTGCAGCGTGGACCTGACCCTCAGGTGGTTCAGCAGCAAGACATTTATCAGCTCGGTCTTTTGACGGCCTATCTCTGCCTCTTACCTGATGCGGAGCGCATGACCATTGAAGCCGTTAGTATCGTCGTGCAGCTCCAACGTCGTGCATGTGCATGCCACCTGGCTTGATCTGAGCAATGTACGGCCACTCTTGTCAATCTTGTCAATAGGATGGCTTGGTGGGGCGTTGCAATTCTTGGCTGGGAAGCTGCCCTGATGCTCTGCTTGATGTCATTCAATCTTGTACTATTGCTGAGGCTGCGTATCGGTGCGAGACATTCTACACGTTGTGCATCTCTGCTCCTTGACTTGCCTCGTTTTTGCCTCATGCCCTCCGTATCTGACGTTCGAATTTAATCGGGTCGATGATGCGCTGCAACCTTGCAGGCCGGATGCGGCTACGGTGGCTGCTGCCCTGGACGAAATTATCATGAAATTGCAGGGGGATTTGGACAGCCATCCCTCTTATGTGTAAACTTGTGTGCCATAATATGTGGATACGTCAATGTTTACCTTCATCGCCAGCTTGAGCAGGACCGAGCTGCAGGGCTCGCTTTGTGCGGGCGCGGTGTAGGGCGGGTTAGGCCTGGCCTTGTGTTTGGAGTGGTGTGCCAAAAAAACGAGTTATTGGCTTCCCAAAGGTACAGAGGAGCTGTGAGAATTAATTGGTAAAATTCATGTCACACACACGGTGCCTCCAAGTCCTCAGATCACGCAGGCGCGAACTTTACGCAGTGGGTTTCTTGCTCTTGCGCTTGCTGCGCATCTCCTGGTACAGCTTCTGGCGTGCGCGATCCACTGGCACACCAACATCCTTACCCTTCTTATCCTTCTTATCCTTCTTATCCTTCTTATCATTCTTAATCTTCTTGTCCTTCTGCTCTTTTTGGGCTTCCTCTGCCGCAGCAGTTGCGGGTGGGTCGGCCTTGGAGCGCTTCTGGGCTGGCGTGTCTGCCTGCTCATCCTGGGCGTCCCCGGCATTCTCACTTGCGTTATCCTCGGCAGCTCGCTTGGCTTTCTTGGACTTGTGATGACGACGGGCCTTTTTCTTGCGCTCGTGTTGCTCGCCGTGGTTGCGCTCGTTGCTTGATGATAGCGCTTCTTCCGCCTCAGGTTGTTGGTACAACGAGCGCAGCGATGGGAGCACCTGAAGCTTGCGTGACATGTCCTGACCACGCTTCTTGAACTTTCGCACATCTTTCCACTCCATTGCTCGGTCACGATACTTGACAACCTTTTTCATCGACGCCCACTGCCGCAGTTCCTTGTCGTCAGCGGCCAAAATCTAGAACGTGGGTAAAAAAAAAAAAAAAAAAAAAAAAAAAAAAAAAAAAAAAAAAAAAAAAAAAAAAAAAAAAAAAATTGGCGTTAATGTCAAGCCGTGAGGTGAGCTTTGAGGAGCAGAAGAAGAGAAAAAAAAATTGAAAAAAACCGCCCCTTTCCCTAGAAGCTGTTCAGTCCCGCGTTGTGTCATCATCTGCAGCAACGGGCAAAGCGACGCGTACCTCATCCACGGTCAATCCGAAATCGTTAGGAACCACTTCACGGTACTTGAAGCGATACTCCTGCGGACCCAAAAGCGCGTCCAACTCAAGGTCCTTGTACTCGCCCATCAGCTCGCCGAGGCTCTGAGGATGTTTAGAGACACAACGACAACAGCAAAAGCAACAGCATCCAAAAGAAAAAACCAAACAAAAAATGAAGGAGATGTGTAGGTTAGCCATGTGTAGCGCACAGTGCCATCACCGCAGCTGGACACATGCCATACCTTGTTCTCAGTTGCGCTGTGTTCTTCTCCCTGCACTTCGGCATCCTGATCTTCAGCCATGGCTTCAGCAGCTCCGCTGGCTTGCTCCTGCTGCAGCTTTTTCAGACGCTTCTTCTCCTTTTTCAGCTTTTTCTTCTCCTACACACGAAGAGTCACACCAAAGGTCAGTGCCACATTCGGACGCGGCCTGAAAAAATGCTTTGATGATCATGATTTCTATGCCTTTTATTTGAGGGCTCAGCCTGCTGGTCTTGTGGGCTTGAAGGAACCAGGGGTACGTATAAAGGAGATGCGACGCTCGTACCTTGCGACTGGGCACGTGTTCAGCGTCCATGACAAAGTCGTCATCTTCCTCATCTCCATAGTCACCCAAGTCGATGTCGTCAAACTTGGGCTTGCCATCAGCGTCAGTCGTCTCATAGTAGTCATCATTGAACAAGGTCTGTACGCGCAAAAATACCATTGCCCCCATGACCGTATAAGACAGGGCTCTTGGGAAGCATGCCAACCAGCCAGAAAGGGGAGAAAGAAGGAAGCAGGCTTGTGATACTCACCCCGAGCTGCTCCTCGAATCGATCCGGATCGAAATCGCCCTCCACGTCCAGATTGGCCAGCAGCGCTGGGTCGACACCAGCCGAAGCTAGCACACACACACACACACACACACACACACACACACACACACACACACACACACACACACACACACACACACACGGAATAGTGAGACTGGTTGGGTGACGACATCGGCGGGCATCTTCTGGGCAGTGAATTGGGAATGTTGCGGTATCCAACCTGCGATTTGTTCCATTTTGCTGCGAATTTCCTGGCTTTTGAGCTCCTTGAGGCGCTGAATCTCAGATTTCTTCTCGTCAGCCGCCTGTTGATGCACCAGCAAGCCAGGGGACACGGTGTGACCAAATAGTGGGCCCGACAGTGACAACACATCGAGTGCAAACGCAAAGACAAGCCCATGGCCATACCTGGGCAACACGGTCCTTTTTGGCATCACGTTGCTGCTTGCGCTTGTTCCCTTGCTGTTGCTCACGGACGGAGGTTTCGATGCGGCGCGGAAAGCGCTTGATCTGTTTGTGGTGTTGGAGACAGCCCGACACGAAGCAGAGAATTAAGACGATGGCACGGATGACCAGGTACAGGAAGGTGAGTTCAAACGATGATGGGTCAGGGTAGATAGAGTCCATGGTCAGGCAAAGGGCATTCTATTCCAGCCCAAACATGCATGACGAGGAGACCGACCTCGTTTGCACCCTCTTCCTCGAAGCGAAAGTTGTATTCACGCTCAAACTCCTCGGCCGCTTCCACCACCACCTCATCTTCGTCGTCGACCTGGTTGTTGGGAGCAGAAAGGCCACCCTTCCACATGCGTTTTGTAATGTAATCACGAAGGAAGCGATCACCCTCCGAGAGGTCAGGAGCTGTCCAGAATCGCTTGAGCGGATCCAAGTCCTGCTGGACTTCCTTCTCTAACACGGGGGCATCCTTTTCCAGCCACTCTTCATAGGCTATCAACAGAGATGGAAAAGCAGGGCAAACATGATGGGGTGTCTCGTGCAGAGGCAAGCGGCTTTGCTCACTGTGTGAGGACGCTATGAGACGGGCACAAGGCTTACCGCGGTCGCGAGCTTCCTGCTCGGCGGGTGTGAGTTGCTTTTCGGTGAGAAAGCCGTCGGCGCCTTCCTCGCCCAGACCTTCAGCGGCGTCGGCGAAGGCGCGCTTAAGCTGTGATTGACGCTCAACGTATGAAGGGTCGTTGTTGCCGGGGGTCTCGTCGTCCTCTTCGTCATCGCTGACAAAGGCCTTTTCGCCCTTGGTCAGCAAGCGGCGACGTTCGTGGTCCTTCAGGGTCATGGGCTTTTGCTGGCGGGGTTTGTCGCTGGGCTCCTCATCATCTGCCGGTGTCTGATAGAGCTGTACCTCCGATTCATAAATGCGAGGATCATTGGCCTTGATCATGGACAAGGTGCGCAAGAAATCCCGCTCCAGACCGGGGGTGTCGCCTGGTTTAGAAGTCGGCATCCAAGAGCCATGCTTGATGAGCAAAGCCAAAATGCTGTTTCAAAGTGCACCCGCACCCTGATTGTCTTTTCTTTTCCTTCTTCTTTGAGAGGCTGAAGACGTGTTGCCTGCATACGAGACAACGTCTATTGAACCGCGCGCTCCAAGCAAGCAAGGCCGCACCTTCAGCGTCGTCGTCCTCCTCCTCTGAGCTGCTCTCTTCATCAAAATCCTCACCATACTTGTCCTTGAGCAGACTCAACTCCTCACCCCGCTTGCGCTCCTCATACCGCTCGGCATAGGTCTTGGAGATGGTCAAGCCCGCGTTGTCGCCCTCGTCATCAAAGAGGTCGGCCATGGCGCCGGTGAAACACGTTGAGGCTGCAAATTTGGCAAGAACAAACAAAGAGCACGTGGTCAGGGGTCAAGTCGAGCGTGTTTCAAGTCGCGCAGCGCGGTTCATCCAGCCAGCAAGCCTTTGCATCAAAGGCCCGGCGCCCTTGCTGCAGTCCCATGTCTCGACAACCGCCTTTTTCCGCCCCAGCCCCTCACACCGCCGCCATTTCCCCTCCTGACTCCCCCCCACAACACTCGCTCGCCCCACCTCCCCGCGTTGCGTCCAAGAGAACAAAAAAAAACACCAACACCACCACAACCTGTCCGCAGGAACATGTTTCATCTGACAAACCACGTGTTATTCAGCCCTGCCATTCGGTAGCACGGAAATTCCTTTGTCTCTCTCTTGCCTTTGTGTCTCACTCTTTGGTTGGCTCTACTTGAACTTTCAATTTCTCTGCAACTTCTCTGGCATGTTACTGTAAGAAAGATTAAAGACGGCGTCATCTTCCCGGTCTTTTACTTCATCTTCTTCTACTTCTGCTTTACTCCGTACTCTCTCTCATTTGATCGCCCACCCTGCCGTTCCTGCCCCTCCCTGCCTCTCCCTGCCTCTCCCTGCCTCGCGGCCTCCTTGCTTCACACCGCGGCTCTCGCGGCCTCAAGATTCAACTGACGCCCGTGTATTTGACCGATTGGAGTCGGAGTTGGGAGTGAACGTATTCGTGTCGCCGAATTCGTGTTGTCGTTGTCGTTGCAGCGACCCCGAGGTCTTGCGACGTCAACAACAGCGCCATGACTGAGTACCAACTGACCTACAAAGGTGTGTCCGAATGACTGACCTGGTGACTCGGGCCTTTCCGTTGTGAACAACGCCTCGTACTGGGTCCCGCCCATCGCTGAACGCGCCTTGGCGGCGCCTTGGTTCTTTAGGCTTCATCTACGTGAAGCAGGGCAAGGGTGATGACAGTGGGGCCGTGACGTTGGATGAGGTCCGCCGCTGTGCGGCCTTGCTTAACAAGCCCAAGAAGGCCCGTGATATCCACCCGCTCTTTGCCCGTGGCTTTGCTACCCCTCTCAAACTCAAGGTACGACTCCAGCCCGCCGGATTGAGAGGGGCGAGGCGCGACTTGAGACTGCGGCTCGGCGCTGCTCGCCCACCGCTGTGTCGCGCTTCACGAAATCGCAAACTTGCCCATGGGCTGGGCCTCACACAAGGACTGACCTCTCGCTGCCTTGGACATGCAGCTCATCCCGGACGGCCTTCGCGTCTACGTTTTCAATGAGGAAACCAAGCAAGACCTTGTGGTCATGGACCACCCACTCCATCGCGTATGTTCATTGTCCAGGCATTTTTGAACACGCGCCGCATTCTTTGCACCCACGTCACGTGTGCCTGGAAAGGCAGCCGACGAACGCACATGCAGCCCTTCAGCGTGCTTCTGTGCCACGAATGCCCATTTCCCACACTGCTCTCTCTCCTGTCCTGCCCATTTCACATATCTGGGCAAAGTTTTTCATCATCGATGCATCTCATCTCGGACGCTTGGTAGATTGTGTTTGTGGTTGCCGATGACAAGGACGTGTACGTAGTGGCCAAGCACGAGCTTCGGGGCAAGGGAACCATGTACAAGTGTCATGGCTTCCGCTGCTCCAGTGACAAGGAGGTGGGTGGGGCCGCTTGTTATTCACTGGCCCATTTGCAAGGCCGTTGTGATGTACCGATGCGCGCATGACGCTTTTCCGACTGACTTCGTTTTGAAACACACACACACGCACGCACGCGCACGCACGCACGCACGCATAGGCAAAGCAAACCTCCAACGCTGTCACGCGTGCTTGCAACGAATGCTTGGCCAAGGTTTGTCGACAGAGTGGAGATTTCACCCCTGCGTTGCGTTCCAAACCTTCTCAGCCATTTTATCGCTGCTTGGCCTTTTCCCACACCGTCGGTCTCTCATCTGCCTGGCGGTGGTCACCTGCACGGGATTGATCACAGCTTCGCGCCACGCGAGAGTTTGTGCGCAAAAACAGCGACAAGGCACTGCCCATCCGTCGTCGTTCACATGCCCGTGCCGTGGCCAACCCGGCGGGTGCCAGCAGCTCTGGCAACATTACTGCGAGTGAATTCAAGCGCTACCGTCCCACCAAGCGGCGTCAGGACGACTCGGATGCCGATCTTCTCAAGCGATACATTGCCATGGCCCGCAAGAGCGTCATTGTTGATACTTCTGAAGAATACGTTGAACTCAATTCAGATGATGAAGTAGGTCACGCACAACTTGGCGGAGGCATGAATGGTCTTGCTCTGTCAACAAGCGCCCTCTTCCTTCCCTTCCTCATCACCTGCCCTCACTTGTTTCTATTCTTCCCCATTTCTCAGGCGGCGGTGGAACAAACTTTCCAGCACAGTGACGTCTTGGACGATGACCAAGTCGTGCAGATGCGTGAGGAGCTCAAGCTCGCTGTCTCAGCCATCAGTCCCTTGGACGTCGACGAGGGTGAGCAGTCGTTCGGATTTGACTTTTGGCGCTCCATGCCTCGCGGTGGCTGTCCACCCTCCCAGCACACCACCTGTGGCTGGCCGACTCAACCTCACCCATTCCCCCTTGTTCTTATACGTACGTGTGTCAACGTGCTCACAGCTTTGTCCGACAGTGCGGCTGGCAATGGTTCGGCATCAAGCAATGGCGATGAACTTGACTTTGCCAATTTTGAGTGGGACGGCACTTTTGATGATGACTTTGCTCGCATGACCCTCTTCGTGCACCATGGCTACTCGGCGGATGTTCCTCCTGTAGCTGAAATTACGCTTGACTCTGCTATTTTTGACTTGTCCAATAGCACGGCCGTGTAAAGGCCTTTTTTATCTGTGTGGAAAGCGGCCCTGGGTCGCCTCCCTTGTCTCAATGTTGCTACTGGCCTCTCACCCCTCTTTTTGACATTTTCTGTCCAGTTTGTGCTGGCTTCGTTGCTAGCTCACCATGCATGCGGTGGGCGAAAATGCGCTGCGTCATACTGCCCAGAAACTTTTAAGTGACACACTCGGAATTACAGAAACTTCCGTGTCAAGGAACGCTGCATTTGCGGTCTTCTCCATTCGCCTCGAAATTGATTACACTGTAAAGTCCCAACACGATCGGGGTATAATTCATCGGTAGAAGGATGGTTTGCATGGACGGCAAGCAGTGGATGGTCCTTGGGAGTGAGCCGACGACAATTGGCGGGCTTTGTAAATTATTGACATGTCAAGGACAAAGAAAATCGACATTCAAGTTAAAACCCAGCCACACATACAATCAGATCATGGTAAAAGCGAGAGGGGAAAGGACAATGGACTTCTATCCTAAGAAAAACAGGTTAGCTAGCAATCAGGCATTCAGAAAGGAATGGGCGGGTGTGGGAAAGCAAGAGACAATGACACGGCGAAACCAGGTTTACAATAATGTGCTTGCTCGCTCGCGCCTGGCAGATGTGACGTTAAGACACAAACTGCTCCTGAAGCATGCGTTCATCCAAAGACAGGGCGGGATCGCAGAGAATGGTGATGCGCCGGGTCACGTCCTCGGATATTTTCACACGCTGCACGTGACGAAATTCTCCAAAATCGGCCGTGGCGCTGACGGGCCGTTTCTCCACGTTTCGGGCGATAAACTCGACCTCACAACCCGAGCGCAGCAATGCACCCTTCCATCGGCGCGGCCGAAAAGGAGAGATGGGTGTCAGAGCCAATAGACCTGAACCCAGTGGTACCACTGGGCCATGTGCACTAACACAGGCAGCGAATTAAGCAGTTGCATGTGGCTGAGCGCACGGGCGAGCTGGGCCAAAGATGGTTTAGTAGTGTGCTGCGTGAGTGATCGCGTGTTGGCGCACCTGAGGTTATAGGCCGTGGATCCGGCTGGAGTGGCTAGCAAAACGCCGTCGCAAATGAGACTATTCATGCGCTCCTGACCGTCGACAATGACGGTAATGTGCGCAGCCTGGCGGGTTTGACGAAAGAGAGAGACCTCGTTGATGGCCACGGCCTGAAACTGTTCGCCATGCACATCATAAGCAGTCATACGTAAAGGATGGATGTGGGACACCTGTGCTTGTTGCAGGCGTTCAAATAAATCAGCCGCTTTGTAGTTGTTCATGAGAAAGCCGACAGTCCCTCGATTCATGCCGTAAACAGGAATATTCAGCCGCTCATTGAGCAGAAGATGCATGGCCGTGAGCATGTGCCCATCGCCACCTGAGGTGAATCGATACCGAGTAGCAACCCGATTGGTTGGTGAGTCTGGACAAGCAGGGCAAGACGATCGGCTCCAGCACGCTCAGCGGGGCACAGTCGTACCCAAGGCGACAAGACAGTCGGCTTCATGGAGATCGTGATTATAATAGGTTCCCAAAAGCTCTTGCAAAGCCTCCTGTGCCTAAATGGGTCAAGATCAACCGAGCACAGGGAACAAGAAAGGTGGCCGCGTCCCAGTCACACCAAGACGGCAACAGGCCACATAGCTCAGCGCAAAAGCAGACCCTGGAGTCGTCGGCATACCTTGTCACTGCTGGAAGCGAAGAAGTGGGGTCGCTTATAGGGCTGCGGCGTCCGAAACCCAGACCAGTGTGGACCCGAATATCCCGCCGCCAAACGCCGCGCCGCAGTTCTGATCATAGCTATCCCTCCGCACACGAACGGGCCCCGCCCAAAGCCAAAAGCCATAAAAAGAACGCACACAAGCCTCTTAGACGTTACAGTGCTTGAATGGCAAGTCAACAGAGAAAAACGAATGTCTCTCAGTTGTACTTTTCTCTCTCTGTCTCTCTCTGTCTCTCTCTGTCTCTCTCTGTCTCTCTCTGTCTCTCTCTGTTCAATTCTCTCTAACCAATTCATACTCTCTCTCTGTCTCTCTCTCTGTCTCTCCTCTCTGTCTCTCCTCTCTGTCTCTCTCTCTCTGTCTCTCCTCTCTGTCTCTCCTCTCTCTCTTTGTCTTTTGTCTGTGCTTATCACACACACTCACTCTCTCTCTAAAATGATTTGACCCTTCTATTTTCAAGCAGCTCTCAGTCGTTTTTGACACACACACACACACACACACACACACACACACACACACACGCAAAAGGGCAGCGTGGTGTGTGCGTGGGGTCTGTTGACGGGGCCGTGGGCGGGGATCCGCAGGGTATTTGGATCAAAATTTGTCGGCCACAAGGCTTGTTTCCAGTGTGGTGAGGCGCTTGGCTTGTGCTGCAGCTCCGCTGGCAAGCCAGGACAGAAGAACCACTGCGATGGCACAGGATGGCCCAGCATCTCTGCTGGCACAGATCCTGCCCGACTGCGCGCATCGTAGGTTGCTGGTCTCGTTGAACATTGATCATTTACGGATGCTCAATGCCACCGCCCCGGGGTGATGGCGCTTGCTGTCTGCTCGGCTTGCTGTCTGCTCGTCGCAACCTAGCCACTGCGATGAAAGTGGCGGATGAGCCAGGTTCATGAACCAGCTGACCCTTTGCTCACGCTGCCTGCTGGGGTCGACAGAACCATGGGCAGAGCACCCAGATGCCATGGACATCCTGAACGGGCTCACCTCATCATCGCTCTCACAAATTCGTCAGTCTTTGCTCCCCCTCTTGTGGGTCATCAATAAGCGTTGTCCGTCTTCTCCCTCACCCTGTCCTCTGGGCACCCCCACCAGTCACCGAACAGCAGACCTTGCGCGATTCACTCACCAAGCTTTCACAAGACACGGAAGAGCTGGCTTGGTCGCACTACAAATCCTTTATTAGTGCCGCTGACCATTCCAAAGCCATCTTTCGCGAGGTGTGTATCCTGGCTCCAAGCGTCTCTCACAGCGTGCGCTCGTCGAGCCTCGCGCCTCCTCATTTCGCTGCAAATACGCCCACGCCCGCACGTAGTTCAAAGCCGTGGAAGACCATGCTTCGTCCCTGTCCAACCAGCTGTCTGGCCTGTCTGGGGCCTGCACTGCACTCTTGCAACAGGCCAAGGCCATCAATGACCAACGCCACGAGGCTGCCTTGATGCTTCGTTACCATTCGCAGGTCTGTGCACACTGCTGTTGCTTTGTGCTCACCTGACAATCTCAGATCATCCTGGCTGCTGTTTCCAAACATCGGCACATACACACACGCGCACACGTATCTTGTGTGCCCTTTTGTAGATTATGGAGGTGCTGGAACTACCCCATCTTCTGGATGCCTGCATCAAATCAAGGTACTCACGGCAATCGAATCGGGGCATCGCTTTGGCTCTGAATCAGAAGCCACTAGCACTCACTGACAACTGACAATCACGCCTAGCCGCTATGAAAAGGCGTTGGAGCTTCGCGCCCACATTCAACGTCTTGCCCGGAAGCTTTCCAACGTTTCCGTGATCAAGGTCAGCATCAATACCTTCTCCTCAAAACGACCTTGATATGAGACACTTTGCTTGCCTTGTCTTTTTCTTCCTCGGGCTCGGCCTCAAACCAATTGGCCTCTTTACTCAAGCGACTCGCTTCTCACGACATCTTGATTTGCCCTCGCCTGCTGTCCGCTTTCTTTAGACGATTGCCGAGCAATCAGAGCTCAGAATGGGCCAGATGAAGGCAAGCCTGGTGCAGGCACTGCAAACCGACCTTGCACTCACAGATTGCATCAACACCGTCAGCCACCTGCGGGCTCTACAAACATTCCAAGAGCCCGAGCTTCGCGTTCTCTTCCTTCAAGCTCGTAATGCTTTCCTCGACAAGGTGTGGCCGCTCAACTCTGGCCGCGAGCAGAGTATCTTCCTATTCTTCTCATCGCTCAGCCCCTCCTCTCCCCTGCATGCCTACGCTAGACCCTGGCTAGTTTGTCAACGGCAGATGCAGCACGCTACCTGAATGACGTTATGGACGCCTCTCGCCGACACATCTTCAACATCGTAACTCAATATGGCGCTGTCTTCTCGACGACCTATGCCAGCAGCAGCAAGACTCACGACCCGCTACAACGCCATGAACTGCTCTACGATTGGGCGCTGTTTCGGGTACGTTACCTTCATGTTTCAGTTGTCCCGGGTGTCCATGCCGCACTCAGCTCATCAGCTCAACCCCCTGGCAAATGCACATTGCATGCGTGTTAGGTAACCATTTTCGTAGCCACTCTTGAGCAGCACCTGCCGCGGGTCCAGGCCCGTGCCGCCGCCATCATGGGGCAAGCAATGGTAAGCCAGTGTTTTTCGGTCAATGTCATCTCCGATGTGTGGGGCCAGTGATCTTTTTTACTCACTGCCTACCCTGCAAATAGCAATTCATGGCTGCTCTGCGCCGTTGCGGCATGAATGGGCGGGCACTGCTCTTGCCCGTCTGCGAACGCTACTCCATCAACGCCTTTGAGGCTCGAGTTCGAGCAGCCATCGACATTTTTGAGACTGGCCTACCTTCCATGCGCTTGGCCGCCCATGGCATATTGAATGTTGATGCGTCATTTGACGGTACGAAGCATCGTAGCAGACCCAACCCGCTCTCGCGTCTGGGGTGCTGGCATTGATGGGTCGGTTTGTGGGTCGCTAGAATCTGATTTGCTACAGCCCCAACTTCCCATTCGTCTCACCAGTCATGGAGCTTTGGCTTCTCTCGCAAATGCCATCCTCCATGCTTTCAATGAGCTTCGCGAGTATGTTCTGACCCTTGTTTTGCCTCATGGTGGCGACCCATCATTCAACCTCTCTTGGGTACTCACTTTCCACCCTTGCCCGAGTTAGATTTGCTCTGGCCAGCATTGCGATCAAACTTGCAGAAGGCTTGACGGTTGCTCTCCAACGTGGTGCCGCTAGCTTGGCGCGCTTCTATGAAGGCATTAAAAGTGGTCTCACTCAGGTCCGCAAAAATCCCAATCAGCAAGGATTGATAAGATTGTGTGCACTGTGGTCTGCCCAAAGCCCCACTGATGCTCGACCCGGTTAACTCTCACACTGTTCTTCTCACCCCATGCCATGGAGCACAGAAGGAAATGCTTGGTCTGAAAAACATCATGTCGCTCTATGGAACTGCCTTGGTGCCAGCTCTGGTCGCATGCTTTGATGCCATTTACATGCCCTCCCTGTTTCTGGATCGTGCTGCGGTGAGTGCTTCCATTCATTGAGTGGCACAGAGCAGATAGTTTGAAACTGTGCGAAATCTTTCTCACTGTGTCATCTTTTGGACACTACCCGCGCCTTGGCAGTTGGCTACTATGCGCCACCAGTCCTTGTTGAGTATCGAGGCGATTGTTTCTCCACTCTGCGACGCCTGTACGTTTTAAGTGGGCCTTGATGATTTCAACTGACAACAGGCAAGGTCGGCAGAGCAGGCCAGGTGCTGGTCGCTCGATGGCTAACGCGGGCAATGTTGAATAGGTCCTGAAACCGTCGGTGGCATGGTCCGCATCCTGAATGGCACGGCAACTATCCCTAGCGAAGGGGCAAATGGCTCTGAGCCCACGGCCGCTGGGGCAGAAGACAAAGCACCTGCATCCGAGGCAGAACTTGAACCCACTACTGAAGATTCCGCTACGGAAAGTGAGGTCGTGAATGACGAAACTCCTGCCCTTGAGCGCCGAGCCGCTGGGGCAGAAGACAAAGCACCTGCATCCGAGGCAGAACTTGAACCCACTACTGAAGATTCCGCTACGGAAAGCGAGGTCGTGAATGACGAAACTCCTGCCCTTGAGCCAGCAAAGGGGGAAGAACCTGTCCCCGATGGTGAAGCTGGACAAGTCGGCGATCTGAAACCATCCACCCTGGAAGTTGAGCCAGCCGAGAGCGAGGACAATGCTTCACAGAGAGCCACAAGCAATTCCGAACCATCTGTGCTCGACGAATCCGCGTTTTCCCTAGACGATGATACGACAGCTGAAGTTGGAGCAACTTCTCCCAATGGCAAGCTCGAGCCCCCGGTTGAAGTTGATGCTGATGTTGATGAGGCTACCGCAGCCATTGACACGACACCTGCAACTCCTTCAGCCGAGGCCGCAGATACAGACGCTTACGCAAGCGAGGTGATTGCTGAGCCCGAGAGCGTAGCGTCTCCAGAAGCCTCGCATTTAATACCAAAGCCAGCAGCCGTGATGGAAGACGTGGAACGCGACAGGGCTGAGCAAGTGTTCGCCGACTGGCTCGAAGCCATGCGAGCTCACATGCAGCAGGATCATCTCCGTGTTCTAGATTTATTCCGCGAGTGTGATGTCAATGGCGACGGGCGCCTATCAGCAGACGAGTTGCGACAGTTTTTGACGACCGCTCACCTACCAATGTCCAACGAGGATGTGACGTGCGTAATGGGCGTTTTGGACGAGGATGGTTCCGGCCTGATTGACTACCACGAGTTTGCCCAAAAGGTTTATCGACGTCGCTACCCCGCTACCGAGAGCCGTCGCAGCTCAGCGTCATCCACCACAGCTCCTGAAGCTCGAAGTGCACCTTCTGCTCGGCAGTCTGCCGGTGAAACTGCGCTCAACAAACTACTCAAATACTTCCAAGCCCATCCGGCGGTTCAACAACAATTTGTTGACGAGATCCGCGCCAAGGACTCAACCGAGCAGACCGGGGCTGTTTCGCGCCAAGCCTTTCGGTCCATCGTGAGAAAATTGGAGGGCGCCCAAGTAAGCATACGCGATGCCAACGCTATGATTGCCTATTTAGACCCAGACAACACTATGAAGGTCGTCTATGAAGAGCTTGCTCCCTTTACCCAGGCATGAACTATCCGCGTGGGGAGGCCTACCGTCAACACAGCCGGCAGGACAAAACACAATTTATACTCTTACAATCGCATCACAAAACTACCTTCCTCTCCCTGTGTGGTCTCTTACAAATCCCCAAGCTCCAGGTATGCTGTGCCAGAAGGGGTGGACTGATTATTGCATCATCAATTGCATGGACAAGGTCAACGGATCACGCTGTGCCCTGCCCATCAACATTCAACACATACATGCAACAAGCGGACGCCCCTCAAAGCTGTAAAACACTTCACGCTGACACAACACAGCATGATCACACTCGATCAATATACCTCTTTAAAACGCGAGGAGGAGGTCGGGGGCGGCAAAGTGGCGAGCAAAAACAACGCCAGTGCGACAGGCACCCGCGCCGAGAAACTGCAAATGCAACTCCACTCAACGACATTGTTTACGCAGCCTTTTCCTCAACATAAGCACGGGCGAGATTCTTAACGCGCTCGATACCATCAGCATTATCCTGCTCCTTCTCAAACTCAAGGAAACGCTTGAAGAAGTGCTTCATTTTCTTGGTACTCAAGCGCAGGGTCACGACCCGCTCAAAAAGGGCGCGAATGGCATCCTCGTCATCGATGCGCAGCTCCTGGTCGATCCAAATATTCCACATGTCGACACGTTTGGGGTGCGTGGTCACGACGTTCTCAAAGATGGTGCGGCCACGCTCGACATCACCAAGCTTAAACTCCAGAATGCCAAACTTGCTGATCAAATCGACGTGATCGTGCTTGGGCACGCTCTTGAGGGCACGCTCCAGCAACGCCCGGGCCGTGGCAAATTGCTCTACAATGTATGCACAAAAGGCAAACATTAGAACGAGTCGAACCGCTTGCAGTGAAATGTGACGCTGTGAGTGCGCCCTGCACTGACGAGGAAACACTACATACTTTGATTGAGAAGATACTCGGCATACTTGAGCCAAACTGATTTGTGTGACTTGAACTTTTTCAACATTGCCTGGAAAACTTCTTCGACCTGGTCGTGCTTTTCACTGCGCATGTAAATACCCAGCAGGTGCATGTGCATCTTCAGCGCATCCATGCGTTGGCAACTATCCGCAAAAACCTTGTCCAAGGCCTCTTGGGACCCAAAACTATTTTCCAGGTTCAGCCGAGCGACCCAAACGTTCATTTTCTCATCCTCCTGTGACGCCAAGGGTCCGTGTTGCATGCAACACACATATCATCAGCAAACATTGATGCAGTACTTTGTAGAAAAAGCGACCTGGAAGCTTAGCTACTTACCAGCTCTGGAGCGATTGTCTTGAGAGCCCGGTGGGCAACGGCGCGGGCCTTGTCCAGCTCGGTGAGCTGCAAGAAGAAGGCAATGTACTGGATCCAGGTAAAGCTGCTGTTCGGCGACGCCATGACAGCGCGCTCGTGGTCCTCCACCGACATTGCTTCCGCCTGGTTCAACTTGGCAGCTTCGGCTGCGCGAATGCGTTGTTCTTCACGCGATTGGGCGGCCCGCTTCGCCCGCTTGTTGCGGGGTGCTACTCATTATGCAAACATGTAGGTAAGCATCCATTTCGAGCGCTCCCCATACTCCGACCCCAGTCACATTCTCCCTCACCAAATGCGCCCCCGCGCCCCCGCCCCCCCATAACTTCATCCCACAATAACATTTTGTTGGGCTGTCCCGTAAGCACGCCGACGTACCATCATCCTCGTCATCCTCATCCTCACTGCTTGACTCCACGCCGGCACCGGCACCCCCCGTCGTTGAGCCCCACAAGAGAGACTGAGACATCAGCTGAAATGGGTTGGCTGAAGTGGTGCTCGTGCCAAGAGCATCACCGGCGTCGCGGAGAGCGGTCGATGCTGATGCAAAGGCACCTCCGCCTTCGGCATCACTCTCCTCGTCACTGTCGCTATCGCCGTCATCGTCCTCAGCCTCCTCGTCCTCCTCATCCGACGAAGCATCAGCGCCCCGTTCCTGCAGGGCCACGGCGTCCGTGTCCAGCACATCGTCAGCATCTGCGTCACTCTCGTCGCCGCTCGCGTCACCATCAGCTGCGGATGCCTCATCTGCTGACTCGTCCATGGCCTGGGGCAAGCCGGCATCATCAAAGTATGACGGCTTGATGCCCAGAGATATCCGCTTCTTGTCCACGTCCACCTTCAAAACCACAGCCTTGACCGCATCACCAGCAGAATATAGCTTGTTCAAATCCTGAGGGACAGACGGATGATGCGTGCTGAGTGAAAGCGATGCATCGCCAAGCCATCATCCCATCCGTTGCACGATGCACTCAGCGCCCACACGCACAAAAGGACTCACAAAGCACAAGTCAACATACCTCGATACGTTGATCTGCACACTCTGAGATGTGAGCCATGCCCGTGAGGTTGGCAGAGTCATCAATCACAATGAAGACGCCATAGGATTCGACACGCTTGATGACGCCCGTCACGTGTTGCCCTTGTTCCAACGTGTCAATTCGAAGCAAAGTTGTGCCCGAAGGATCGACATCCGACTATCACCAGGCAGCGACGACGAGATCAAAACATGTCACATAGAAGCCCATTTTGTGTGCCTGCCTTGGTGGTGTGTCGCACGGTGAGAGGGTCTAATTTGAGTTGACAAACCTTCTTCAAAGACATTTCAAGACGACCATCCGTCTTCGCCATGATTCGGCCCTGGACCAGCGTGCCAACCTTAAAAGCCTGACAAGTTTACAATTTGGTCAGACTACCCTGCAGCCCACACAAAGAGAATCACGAGATGGGGCGAGATGGCTTAGTACATACCTTTTTGATGTCGCGCACGAACAGATCGCTGAGATTGGCGATTTGCACACGGGCCGTTACATTTCGGCTCTGTGCACAAGAAAAGTTGTGAGGGAACGCAAACCATGTGATGGCAAGGCAGGCGGCAGCCAAGTCATTTCGGTGGGGATGGGGACGTATCAAACACGTACAAGAGCGACAAAAACGCCTTCGTCCGTGGCGTTGCACACCACGCCGCGGTGCACTTGATCGGTGTCGACATCTTCCATGCGCAGCACGGATGCCTTCGTTGCGGCGTCGCCCTCCACCTCCGAGGGGCGCAAAGACAACCGAATGTCCCCGATAGCTGAGCCCATGTTGCCCGTGGCTGCCAAGTTCTCACCACCAATGACCACCGCACGATACACCTGCAAAGCATCAGATGCATGAATCGCCAACCACACTGAGTGAATGCGGATCCATCAGGGCGCAAAAACTTGTGGACTTGAAAGTGAGTCGTGGGCTCTGACCTTGGAGCGGTCTAGAGTTTTGAAAGGCTCGGCATGAAGCTTGTCGTCAACGTCCGTGATGTCAACGGCACCAAATCGGCCGTGGCCCAAATGCATGATGCCAAAGCGGTTGACAATGCGCTTGAGAGAAGCAGACACAACACTGCCAACATGAATTTCTTGGCCTACACACCAGCAAGATTGAGCAAGGCCAGAGCACAACCCGCATGCCTTGACGACACTTGCGCGAAACGCAAACGAATGGCGCCTCAACAAAAATAGTTGAACCGTTGGTCAGCCACGACACCACCGTGACGTGAGCAACTCACTTGATTCGCTCGCCAGTTCGAGTTCGAGGAGCTTCTCGCTCATGATGATGATGCGAAATTTGTGCCGCATACCAATGCCAAACTGCTTTTTCAGCGCTTTTGGGTCAGTGGCAGCCGCACCCAGCTACGTGACAAGGTGGTGGATCAAGAAAGTGCCGATTTGCCAAGATGAAGGAACTGAACCGCATGTTCACGTGGGTATCGTCTGGTAAACTTACATTGACAAGGTTGATGCGCCCGCGCACGTTTGGCGCGAGCAGAACCCAAAGGCAGCGCTCGCCCACTTCCGACACGACGCCCCACCGCTCCTGACCAACCTCCACGGCTTCACGCTCGAGCATCGGTGGCAACTGTGAACGCACCAAACAGACACAGCTGCTAGTGAGGTCTCGTGCTTGTGCTTGGGAGAAAGAGAGCCAAGGAGAGGAAAGGATGGGGAAAAAAAAGAGCCCTTGTGCACACATACCTCCTTGGCGGCCAGAACGGATGGTTTGAGGGAGCACTCGGCGACGTGGCGCTTGAGAAACTTTTGGGTAATGGGCATGAAACGCCGCGTCTTTTGATCCCGGAAGCCCAGGATGCGAACTTGAATCTTATCGCCCTTGTGGTAGGCTTTAAAGGGCTGGGCCGAAGTGTCATTCTCATCCAGCACCTCGGTTGCCAAAACGCGACCTGATCGCTTCTCGGGCAGACGCAGTTGCAGCTGCGTCTGGCCGGCCTTGGTCACTTCTGCCTCGACAACTTGGCCTACTGCCAGCTCGCTCGTTGTCGGCTCACTCTCCTGCTTCCAGCCATAGAAGCAGTCACGCACAATGAGCATGCAGAAATGTAAGTAAAGAGGTAGTAGAGCCAGTTGGCTCCGCTGGTCCGGGGCACACGTTAACAAACCTGAGAGGCCCATTGCACGGTGGCCTGGCCAACGACAAATTCAGGGTTGCCCACGGACAGGACGGTGACAGTGGCCTTGCTGCCAGCGACAAAGCGCTTGAACGGCTCGCGGCGGTCATTGTACGTTTGTGTCGCTAAAAAAGGACATGGATTCAATGAGCGAGCTTTCGCGTCAGCCAACCAAGCCAGTCCATGGCCCCATTCCACCTGAGTGCTCAAACCCCTCTCAACTTGAAAACGCAACTTACGGCAATAAAGCAGAGTGCGCTCGGGACCAGACACGACGGCGTGCGTCACCTTGACCAGTTCGACTCGCCCTTGCACCTCCTCCTTCTTGGCGAATGGAAGCTTGGTAGGATGACTCCGCTTGCCCTTGCCCGTTTTCGAGTCCTTGCCATTGTCCGAGCTGGCGGACACGAGCTCGGGCTTGAGCGTGACATCTAGCACGCCCTTCTCGTAGTCAATATCCAAGACGCGACCTGGCAACTCAACGCCGACCTCGCACTCGATGCCTTGACGCTGCTCTTTGGTCACAAAGATGGGCACGCCGTCTTTGGTCTATTTAAAAAGCATTTCGATGTCAAGAAAAGAAGCGGGGCGGGGGCTCAAAAAAACCTGCAGTTCCAAACATGCAGTTGCCATTTGATGCTTCCACGACGCACGCACCGTGCCAACAACGCCAAAGGGCTTGATCTCCTGAATCAGCACAGATATGGCCTGGCCATGATGATAGGGGGCGGCACGGCGACCAGGCGAGTCTTTGATACCCGCGAAGCGCGCCATGTCTTTGGCCAGTGACTACCACACCGCCAGAAACACAACGTGAGCAATTTTAGGACGTGGCACAGAAAGGCTAACGTAAGCTTGAGCAATACCTGCATGTATGGGACCACGGCAACGGCACCGATGACATCCTCCTTCATTGAAAAAACAGCACGATTCTGTTCCTTGTTAATCTCAGAGACAGCGACAAGAACTGTTTGATCAGGATGGAAAAAGGCCTTGGGATTGTCCACGTATCGCTTGGCCAGTTGGCGCAGAGGAACCAATCCACTCTATATGAATATGAGGCCGATTCAGCCAACCACGCAAAATGCAGTGAGCCGGGCAAAAGCAAAAGTGAAAAGCATGGGCTTTGCAATGCAACGGCAACATGATATAAATCGAGGTCTTCTCCATGAACGTACTAGACCGTGAATTGTACCGATAAAGCAGCCATAGTCCAGAACAGAGCGGATGTAGGCAGGGAAGACCTGGCCTAGTTTCAAATCATCAAGCTCCTTTGGCAAACTCTCGACCTTTGTTTGAGCCTGGAAACGAGATGGCAACACAATGGCTATAGACTGAGCAAGACCAGCAGCGGTGCACCACATGTCTAACAGGAAGCTCTGCTCGATCATCGTGTCAAAAATCATTCAAGAACAAACCTTGAGCTGAGGCTTGCAGGAGATGGTGACGCGGCGGCCTCGCTTTTCAAGCACGACTGCTTCCAGCTTGTCGCCCTTCTTGTATGTACTGATAAAAAACAGAAAAAAGAGTCGAAGCAAGCGAAGACATGAGGTGTAACCGGACACTCAACCATGCCACCAACCCTGTGTGATGCTTCACGAACGCGTGCAATGCCACTATTCTGGGTAGATGTTACATACCGGCACAAGGCAGTGGCAAGGCTTGGGTGGTCAGTGAGATGGCCAGCACGAAGTTCAGTCTGTACCAAGGGTGACTCCACGAATTTCACGGTCAGCATGTCCTCGGCGACAGCGACAACCTCAACTGCCTCGAGTGAGCCCGCTTCAATGCGTCTACACAAACGAAACGTTGGTTTCGGGGTGAGAGGACGTTGCTGTAAACATGGTGTCACCCTACATTAGAATGGCTGAGCAAAAATGATAAACGCACTTCAGTTGCGCGTCGCGAGCACCGCGGTCGGCGACGGAGGTTTTGGCCGCACGAAAGGTCAGGATGAGCGAATTTTCTTGAGGGTCGCAATTGAGCACACCACACTCGACGACCTATACACATGCACAGTTGGATGGTGGTGACCATGAATTTACACCCACGATTCGCTAAAATGGCATTGTTCTGAAAAAGCGGCAGTGCACTTAGGCGACGTGCCTGTCCACGCCGGAAATTGTCTGAAGGAGTGGTGGTGCGAGCTTCGGTCATTTGACCAGCCGGAACAAATCCGCGGACCTAAACAATGTGGGGACATGTCAAAGCTCGGCCAAGATATTGGCGAGATCATGACGAATCAAACGGGCGCGTGACTGTAGAAGTACAACGTACTTGATTGTAAAAGCTGACAATGCAGCCCTTGTCCATCACCTTGCTGATGCAACCATGGGTACGCATGCCCGGTTGCGCATCGTGCATGTTTTTGATAATGGGAAGATCAGAGCGCACAAGCGTCTGGATGGGATTGTTGGAAAAAAAAAAAAAAAAAAAAAAAAAAAAGGGACCGAAATATGAGCTCTCAAGAAGCGATGTGCGACAGTCAGATGCAGTTCTCTCAATAAATAGAGGCGTGTGGCTTCAACTCTGCTGAGCGCACCTTCTTCAGAGTCACTTTAATACGATGCTTAGAGCCCTTGAGTTTCTCATTGGACAACACACGACCCTTGACCTGAATGAAAGCAAGTGGGCTGTGAGGAGTCATGCACATGCGCAAGCCTCAGCCGTGAGACAAGACGTCAAACAGACACACCTTGTCGCCAGCTTTGAATTTTTTCTCCGGGTGCGTGAGCATGACATCGGCAAGGTGTTCCGAGGGAACGCGAGCTTAATAAAGGGTTTCGTGTCATGAGCCACAGAAACTAGCAACATTGGCACGGCACTCCAAAGCCATCCTTGAGTGAGCGACACACCTTGAATGCCCGACGCCAACTCAATCACCATGCCTGAAGGGATGAGCGAGAGTACCGAACCCTGCACGAGAAGGCCAACTTCAATGCTCTAAGGAAAGGAAGACAGGCGGTGTACCAGAGCAATAACAATCACATGCAATGGGATCAGAAAGGAAGGAACTGACCCAGGTCCAGCAACGCCAGCCAGCAACGCAAGCTGCCTGGATGTGCACGACAAACCTCAGCTGCGAGAAAAGGGACCTTCAAATCCTTTGGTGCGAAAGAGAAGGAGTAGATGCCGTCAAAAGGCTGCTGGGCCACGACACGTCCCTCGTGCGCCGTCCCACGGCGGAAGGACTTGGGCACTGTCTCCACATGCTCTTCAAGCAGGCGCGAGATGTGGGCAAACCCCAGCACTTCAGGGGTATCTTCCTCGGCTGGTACGCCACGAGCATGGCCTGGTGCAGGCTGGCCGGCGGCCAAAACACCAAAAGCTTGATCCACAAAGCGCACGTGGCAGGAAGGCAAGCGAGTCCCAATGGGTAGAGGCAATGTGCAGTCGTCGATTTGCAAATGTGGCTGACGCAAGGAAGCCAAAATGACCTTGTTGGCGAGATCGATGAAAATGACGCGAGCCGTCAGGGTCTGGCCCACCGTGTAGAGCTGTTCCGTAGTCTTCTTTTCAGTTGGCAATTGATCAAAGTGCACATGATGAATGCCAATGGAGAAGCCGCCGCTTTGCAGCACCAAGCCCTTGGCGTGAACCTGTTGCACCTTGCCGCGCACTTGGAGACCAGGACGAAGTGTGGACATGACTGCCTCATTGGTTGAGAGCTCAGCGGTGCGCAGCTTGGAAATGTTGATTGAGACTTGGACGACGCGAGTGGAGCCAGCCGTGGTGCCAGTTGTGACGCAGAACAGGGGTTCACCGGGGACAAGATTACGGCCAAGCTGCTTGACGTGCAACTTGGCAGCCTTGGTAGGCAGGAAGCCTTGAGCCCCGTCAATGCCAAGATCCACGACATAACCGTGATCTTCAACGCTTTGCACGCAAGCCGGTAGCAGGCGCCCCTGACAGTGAGCGCACGGAGGGGACCAATGGCGCGAATCCATGAGTGTCAGTGAGAGTAGTTGAGGGGTTTGCGAGCGATGCGCCTGGTTCAAGTCGATGCAAGAAAGGGGTCAGGCGATTGCCTACCTTTTGCAAGATATCATCCACATCCAAGTTGGCATGGATCAGGCGTGGGTCTGTCGTAAGCAGCAAGCGTTTGTCCTCTTTGGCTTTGACAGCACAGACAAGCTGTTGCCCGACATGAAAGAGCCGTGACATGGAGACAACAATCTCGTCGGAAGCCTGGCTACTTTGATTGGCCTGCTGTTCCTGCTCCTGCTCCTGCTCTGACTCTTCATCCTCTGAAGCACTGGCGGCTTCGGCATCTTCGGCGTCAGCGGCCTTGCCACGAAGATAGGCAACGTAGTGCGGCGAGACGTCGCTCAGTTGCAGCGTGCCCTGCAAACCATGGGGAAGGCTAATCTGCACGGCAAAGTCGGCAACCGACTTGACGCAACCCATCAAGAGCTGACCAACGACGATGCGCTGCAAATGCCAACCCATGCCAATCAACCACCCAACCAACAACATGCGCATCAGATCAAAGGAGAGCCAAGCAAACCAGTCCACTCCCTTTCCGCATAGCGCCGTGAAGGCTCGTTTCTGCAGGCCCTCAGTACGCACCTTGCCGGTGAGCGGCTCGACCAGACTGGCCGTGCCCGATGCACTGGTTGTGCTTTCTGAAGTCTTGCGGGAACGAGAAGCCTTTGGTGTGCCAGCTTTACTGCCCTTGCCATTCGGCTTGCCCGAGCGACCCTTGGCGCGCTTGGATTGAGGCTCAACACTATCCGTCTGCGTGGAGGAGCCGGTATCCGGTGAAAGCGACCAGGACCAGAAGGCGTGAGCACACATTGCCGAGCGTTGAGCCTAAACCTCAACGGGGTTGACAAGGGCGCAGGTCATACATTCTCACTAAAAAGCACATCTTTTTCAGCTTGATGGCGCAGCTGGCGCTTCTCGGCAGCCGAGAGCAGCCGCTGCCCCCCGCGCGGGAAAGCGTCCTCGTCTGCCATGTCAGTCGGTTTGCTCTGGCTGACAGGTCACAAGGGGTCCAATCCTATCAAGCCGGCATAACGACGTGAGTCGGCATGCCCAGCTGCACCGCTCATCGGCCAGCCACCCTATGCCCGAACCGTACAACGCAGCTGCTACACTCTACCCCTTCTTCCCTCCCCCAACACACGCACGCACACATGCACACTCACTCACTCACTCACGGACGGCCTCGGTGTTCGAGACGCGACCCGGTGAATAGAAAAAGACAGCCAGACACGCGAACGAGACGACATACACACGCACACGCACTCACACACACACACGTGTCCGTCCCTGTGTGTCTTTCTCTGACAACAGTCTCTCTCTCTCTCTCTCTCTCTCTCTCTCTCTCTCTCTCTCTCTCTCTCTCTCTCTCTCTCTCTCTCTCTCTCTCTCTCTCTCTCTTCTTTCTTGCAACACGCGACTGAGGTGGCTCAAAACATTCAAATGTCAGATAAAAACATCTGGGGGTCTGTTTGTATAGGAGCATGATATGCGACCCTTGCCGCCAAAATTTAAATATCATAAGTGTGCTGAGAATTGGTCGGCTTAGCTTGTGTGCGCCTCAGAGAAGGGTCGGCGCTTTGCCCCTTTTTTTTTCCTCCCCTTCAAACCAAAAGGCGCTGCAGCAGGCACACCTGTGCCCCATTGACGAAAACCACCGCACCATGGATCTCACGGCCTCGCCAGATCTTGGCGGCTTTGGCCAAAACCTTCAAGGTATCATTGATGCCAGCATCTTCAGCTCCCCGGTCCTCAAAGAGCGAGCTGCGCCCGCCTCCACCACAACAACACCCGCTACAACTGGCCGACGACCTTTAGCCGCTCGCAATGGAGGCATGAGCAGCAAAAGCAGTCGCCCCAAGTCAGCGGTCAAGCCCCCCGTGCGCTCGGCCCGCAAGCCAGCCAGCGCTCCGGCACCACCCAAGAGCACGTCAGAGCCAACCAAGCGTGCCGTGCCACCTCGCAAGCCCCCACGCCGCAGCAGTGGCGCCTCCTCCACCAGCTTGGGCTCCCCCAACTCGGACGAGCTTCGCTACAACGAGACGGTTGGCGTGACTGCGGACAACGTCTTTACCCCTGCCCCCAGCCGCGAGCACCTTTTCCGCCGCGCCTCGGGCAGCCTCGTGCAACCCCGCCTCGACCTCTCTGCGGCCGAAGAGGATGAAATGCCCCAGCCGGAAGAATCAGCATCCCCAGCACCCTCTCAAAAGTCATGGCATGCAAACCAAACCCCGGAGCCGTCCCGTGCCGTGGGAGCACAGCCCAAGGTGGCGTCGCCGCCAGCCGCCACTCACCCCTTTACGGCAGACCTTAGTATCATCATGGAAAGCGACCATGAGGCTTCCTTTCAAGAGAACGAGGCCACAGCCCAGCTGTCCGGCTTGCCTGGGCCATCAAGCACGCCAGGGAGTCTCCAGCAAGACGTGCGGGAGTTGGACGAGGCCGAGTCGTCGACGGACGATGTGCCCGAGAACAATATGGCTGACGACGTGGTCAGCCAAAGCAAACGCTCCAGCCCGTTCACAGCACCCAACACGCCCGTCGCCAATGGCCCCAATGTTATCAAAATGCAGTCACCTGCGCTGGCCCCGAAGGCCAACGACAGCCCACACCGCTCAGCTTCGGTGCAGGCCAGCGACAAAGAGAACCTGCCAACACCGCCGCCAAGTC